AGTCCAGCTCTACTGCACGAGGCCTCTCACCAGGCAGTTTTCAGGTCTGAACCCTGTGAAGACCCCAAGAAGCATTCCTTGGTACTTCCCACCCCATTTCTGCTTATCCAGACCCCTTCAATGATTCAAGAGCCATGGCTAGGAGCCATCTCTCAACCCCCCAACCTGATGGGCTCTCTTCTTTAAGCCTGATTGCATTGTTTTTCTTGATTTCTGACTCCTAGCCTCCTTTTGGAAGATGTACTTGTCTTATCCTTCCCCTTCTGCCCAGAGAACCACTTGAATAAAGGACTACATGTTGTCCATCATCGTGTCCACATATTAGGTGCTACAAAAGTATTGGCTAAATATTTTTTTTAAATAAACTTTTTAAAGTTTTAGACTTAAAGAAAAATTAAAAGGGAGTATAGGGAATTCCTGTATACCCTATACCATTTCCTCTGTTATTAACATCTTATATTAGTATGGTACATTTGCCACAATTAAGGAACCAATATTGACACATTATTATTAACTACAATCCATATTTCATTAAGATTTCTTTAACTTTTACTTAATGTTCTTTTTCTGTTTCAGGATCCCATCCAGGATACTACATTATATTTAGTTGTCGTGTGGCAGTTTCTCACTTTTCTTTTTTTTAAATCAAGATATAATTCACTTATTATAAAATTCACTTTTAAAGTGTACAATTCAGTGATAGTCTGTTGACAAAGTTGTGTAACCATTAGTACTATCTGATTCCAAGACATTTTTATCACCCCAAAAAGAAACCCTGTACCTGTTACCAGTCACTCCCATACCCGCCCTGCGTGTGGCAGTTTCTCACTTTTCTTTTTTTTAAATCAAGATATAATTCACTTATTATAAAATTCACTTTTAAAGTGTACAATTCAGTGATAGTCTGTTGACAAAGTTGTGTAACCATTAGTACTATCTGATTCCAAGACATTTTTATCACCCCAAAAAGAAACCCTGTACCTGTTAGCAGTCACTCCCATACCCGCCCTACCTCAGCCTCTGGCAACCACCAATCTACACTGTCTTTATGGATTTTCCTAATCTGAACACTTTGTATAACTGGACTCATAGAATATGTGGCCTTTTGTGTTAGGCTTCTTTCACTTAACAATATTTTCAAGTTTCATTCACATTGTAACATGAGTTAGTTCACCATTCCTTTTTATGGCTATACAATATTCCATGAATGGATATAACCGCATTTTGTTTATGTATTCATCAATCCTTGGGCATTCATCAAGCACTATTATGAATAATGCTTTTATGAACACCTGCGTATAAGTTTTTGTGTAAACATGTTTTCATTTCTCTTCGGTATATATATAGGAGTGGAATTGCTAGGTTATATGGTAATTCTATGTTTAACTTTTGGAGGAACTGACAGTTTCCAAAGTGGCTGCATCATTTTACATTTCCATCAGCAATGTTGTAAAGGTCCTGATTTCCCCATTTTCATCAATGCTTATTCTTGTCTGTCTTTTGCTCATAGTCATCCTAGTGGGTGTGAAGTGGTATTTCATTGTGGTTTTGATATGCATTTCCCTAATGACTAATGATGTTTTCATGTGCTTATTGGCCATTTATATATCTTCTCTGGAGTAATGTCTATTCAAATCCTTTGCTCATTTTTAAATTGGATTATTTATTTTTTATTGTGGAACTGTAAGGATTCATTATATATTCTGAATACTAGACCCTTATCACATATATGATTTACAAATATTTTCTCCCATTCAGTGTGTTGTATTAACCTTTTTTCTTTATGATGGCTTTATTGAGATATAATTCACATGCCATACAATTCACCACTGAAGTCTACAGTTCAATTGATTTTAGTATATTCACAGAGTTTTACAACCATTACCCTCATTTTCTTGATAGTGTCCTTTGAAGCATAGAAGTTATTAATTTTGATGGTCTAATTTATCCATTTTTTTCATTGGTTGCTTGTGTTTTTAGTGTCATTCATATTTTAAAAACCACTGCCTAACCCAAGATCACCAAGGGTTACTCCTACATTTCTTCTAAATGTTTTCTAGTTATAGCTCTTACATTGAGGTCTGTGATCCATTTTGAGTTAAATTTCGTATGTGCTGTAAGGTAGGGATCCAACTTCATTCTTTTGCATAGAAATATCCAGTTGTTTCAGCATCTTTGTTAAAAAGAGTATTCTTTTCCCCCAGTGAATTGTCCTGGCAGCCTTGTCAAAAATCAATTGACCATAAATGTACAGGTTTGTTTCTGAACTCTTGATTTTATTTCATTGATCTAAATGTCTATTCTTATACCATTACCACATAGTATTCATTCCTGCAGCTTTGTTGTACATTTTGAAATCAGAATGTGTTAGCTTTCCAACTTCATTCTCCTTTTCCAAGATTGTTTTGACTATCTGGGTCTCTTACATTTTCATATGAATTTTAAGAAACAAAGAATCATGAATTAAGAAACTTCCAAACTGTCTTCTAAAGGTGGCATCATTTTGATTTCCACCAGTAACAAATAAAGAGTTGCTGCTGCTCTGCCTCCTCACTGGCATTTGGTGTTATCGGTTATTTATTTATTTATTTTTAGCTATTCTAATAAGTATGTAGTGGTATCTTATGCTTTTTAAACTTGCATTTCCTAATTACAAATAATGTTGAGCATCTCTTCATATGCTTCTTTGTCAAGTGTATATCTTCTTTGGTAAGGTGGCTGTTCATACATTTTGCCCATTTTTTCATTGGATTATTTATTTATTGTTGAGTTTTAAGAGTTCTTTGTATATTTTGCATACAAGTTCTCTATCAGATGTGTTTTGCAAATACTTTCTCTCAGACTATAGCTTGTCTTTCCACTCTCTTTATTGCTAAATATATTGAGTAAAAAAAAAATCCTCTTGGTAAGCTTTAACAATGCATCTACCTAAAAGCTATCAAAAGGTAGCCATTCAGGGATGCTGCTTTGTTGATTACAAATAGGGACTCCCTCTTGAAATATCCAGAACAAGGCTGACATATATATTTGGATCTCACCCCCAACCATCTCCTTGGCTGGTACCTTTGTGCAAAGCACAAACTGCACAATCACATTGCAACAAGTCACATTGATCTTAAGTGTATCCTTACTACACTTACCAGGATAGGGTTCTTGCCTATTCTCCAACCACATCTCATCCTTCTATCCTTCTTCTCTACACCCACAAAGGCCTTATCTCAGCAACTTGAAAGAGCTTAGCTTCCAGACTCAAGACTTTCATGTTTCCTTTGCCAATGTGGCACCCTAACTTTTAAGATGCTCCCCAATGATCCTCACTTCCTGGTATTCACAGCCTTGTGTGGGCCCCTCCCCTTGAGGTGAGCTGGGCCTTGTAACTTGCTTCTAATGAATAGAATAAAACAGAAGTGATGAAATATTAGTTCTAAGATTAGGTTGTAAATGACTAACTTCTCTCTTGCTTGCTCTCTCTCCCTCTTATTTCTTCACTCTGATGAAGCCAACTATCATGTTCTAAGCTACTTATGGGGAGGCTCATTTGTCAAGGAACTGAGGGAGGCCATGGGCTACTTATAAGGAGCTGAGGCTTTAGTCTAACAGCCTGCGAGGAACTTAATCTTGCCAACAACCACTTGGATCGTATTGGAAGCAGATCAATCCCAACTGAGCCTTTAGATGACTTCAGCAATAGTCAACACTTTGATTGAAACCTTTTGAGAGATGATGAGTCAGAGGAGTCAGCTATGCTGCACCCAGATGCCTGACCCACAGAAACTGAGATTATAAACGTTACTGTCTTATATAAATGTCTTGGGGTAATCTGTTACACAGAAATAGATAGCTAATACAATCAGGAACATTCCCCTCCTCACTTCCCACCTAATTCCTATGTATCTTCGACTTGGATTTAAATGTCACTTCCTCAAGGATGACTGTCCTTTCCTCTGACAACCCTCCACACATGAGCAAGTCTCTAGTTATACACCCTCATAGCATTTTCCTCTCTTTTGCCTCACTCAACACCATTACGATAGTTCATTATCTGAATATCTGTTTCCTGTCTTCCCCAAAGACAGTTCCAAGTCAGAGGGCTTTTTTTCCCCACACTGAATTCCCAGCAGCAAACATGGTGCATGGCACAGAGTGGGGATATAGTAATTGTAGAATGAAAAAAATGATGTTGCTGTCTCCCCTTGGGAACTTGATCTCTGAAGGCAGGGCATCTCCTTCCACACGCTTGCAGCATGCACTCGGGGGGCCCAGTGAACTAGGGGTATGGTCTGTGGCTACAACTGAGGTGGCAAACCTGGGACCTTCTGTGTGTAAGCAGACATGCTAACCACAACACTATGGAGTCACCCCCATCTACAGGACTTTTTAAATGATAATATTAATCAGCAGTTCAGGATTCCACCTAGTGAGCTGGTTTCATTAGCAATTCCTAATATTCACTATCTACAAAGTACCATCCAGCTTACTCCCTGACTGGACATTCAGCTGAACCTTCCAGCCTGTGCTTCTACCTCGCCCCTTCACATACACCATGCTCTTGCCATTCCTGTCTCAGCACACATTTCTTCGTCTCTACCTTTGCACATGTTCTTCCTCTGACTGGAAGTTCCCCCTTTAGTGACACTCAGTCCTTGTAATGCCAAATTCAAATCAGAACGCTCCTCGTCCCCCAGAAGTGACTGCTCTTCTGCTCTGTCCCCTCAGTGTTTACCTTTTTTATGGCTTCTACGATATTCAATATTGTATTGTGAGAAGGTATGTATTTTACGTATCTTCTCTACTACCCAGAACTGGAGAGTATGGTCTTTGTCTTAATCTGTTTTCACTAGGCAACCTAGCACAAGGCTCTGGATGGAGCAGGGGTTTAATACATATTTGTTTTAAATGAATAAATGAAAGAATGAATAAAACATATGCTAAAAGGCTTTTAAATGAATTAGATATACTTTATATCTTAATGTCAATAATAATAATAGTCATAGAAAAAATTTAATGTTGAAAACATTTTAATTTGCCTTTTTATGAAATTTTGTTTTTAAACATACCAAAGATACACTCTCATAAAGCTAAAAGGAACTTAGAAATGAATAAACAGAATGTTTCTTTACTAGTCCACTAGAATACTGGCTAACTGTTAATATGTTACTCTAAATGGCCAAATGGAAAACAAAGAAGTAAATAAATGACAAAGCCAACTATTAAATATAGGAAAATGAGCTTTTCAAGAGCTTTCTTGAATTCTTTAATAGGCCATTTGAACTTTTAACAAAATAATTTGAACAATTAAAAAAGTTTAATAATAACAAATATTAGTCCTATATAAAGTGATTTAAGTCACAGTAGTTTACTTCGAACACAAGGACTTAATTACAGAAATGAAATGTACCAGATTATTTAGGGAATGATGTTTGAGGGGACAGTCTTTTCATGACTAAGTCCAGTGTATCTTGAATCCTCATGTTATTACTTTCTATCAGGGAAGAATGTCTTGCAGCCGCCTTCGTGTTTTCTTCTGATTCAAAAGGGAGGAGGGTATGGGGGTTGAACAGACATCGAGGCTCCCCCAAGATGCCAACTCTGTGAAAAGAATTATGGGTACAGATAAAGCAGTAAGGCCAAAGACTAAAGTATATGGTTGCGATTGTGTTTATGCGCGCATGTGTGTATTAAAAGACATACACACACACACAAACACAACTATTTTTTTTGGGGGGGGGGGGAGCATTCCTGTTTCCCTGAACCACCACTATGGTCCTAAATGTGGGTCAGAAACTCAGCCTGCAGCTGGGTTTTCTGCTGGCCCTTCCCACGTTTCCCAAAGATTATTCTATTGGAAAAACCTCAGCCTTATCAAGTCTGCTACTCAGTCATCCAAATTAGAATTATTTGAATTCTATCATAACTTTCTAGCTATTTTTTTTCTAGTCTAGATGGGTGTACCATGAACTGCTCCGGAAAGGAAATGGAGAGACGCAGGGGCGGGTAGAAATATGGTGCTTTCATCTTTGTTCAGCTTTTGGGAAGAGGCGCAATGTCTGAGCCCCTTTCCCTCCCAGGCCCAGTGCAGGAAGGAACACTCTGTTTTCAATCTCGTTGGGCTACTTACATTGGCATGTGCACAGAATCCAGATTTTCCATGCACTCTTCCCTCTGGGCTGAAAATATTAAGTCTCCTTGACAACACTTTTTCTCAAAGACATTCTGAGCTTTTTCTCTGAGAGATGGCAGCAGAGTAGACATGACTGGAGAGCGCATATAAATGGCTTTTTTAATCGCTGGGCGTTTTGCCATCATTCTCCTGTTGAGGATGGGAAGGTAACATTTAGGCCCCATCATCCTGTTTTCTGGAGATGTCTTTGAACTTAGGAAAGTCAAAAGGTCATACCTGAATTGTACAAAAGTCATGCGTTTCTTTTCCCCTCCTGATTCTTCATCCTCACGCTTCCTTCGAGGAATATTGAACATATTGGTACGAAAGAGCCTCCCTATTTCCTCCTCAATCTCTGTGAAATATTGACGTCGGAAGACAATCCAAGCTACATATGTACAGAAAGTGTAAAAGGACTGCAACGGAAAACGGACAAGAATCACAACCCATAACTATGACATGGAAAACTCCAACCTGTCTATATAATACTGCTAAGTAGATATAAACCCAGATGACCTAATCTCTCAACATTCCTAAAAGCTGTGGAAAGTTATACATGTACTCACCTTTGCAGAAGAAAAATAAGACTGAAAATTTAAGGTGTGACATAGTTTGTTAGCATCCTTTTTAGAAAGGACATTCACTAAAAATAAGTGCCTGACAAATGGATATTAGTTATTACTATATAATGTTTATGTCAAAGAAATGTTTCATATCAAAGAAAAAAGCCCCAAAACGTAAATGACTCACCTCAAAGAATTTCCAGTCTTTCTTTTCTTTACTAGTCCACTAGAATACTGGCTAACTGTTAATATGTTACTCTAAATGGCCAAATGGAAAACAAAGAAGTAAATAAATGACAAAGCCAACTATTAAATATAGGAAAATGAGCTTTTCAAGAGCTTTCTTGAATTCTTTAATAGGCCATTTGAACTTTTAACAAAATAATTTGAACAATTAAAAAAGTTTAATAATAACAAATATTAGTCCTATATAAAGTGATTTAAGTCACAGTAGTTTACTTCAAACACAAGGACTTAATTACAGAAATGAAATGTACCAGATTATTTAGGGAATGATGTTTGAGGGGACAGTCTTTTCATGACTAAGCACAGTGTATCTTGAATCCTCATGTTATTACTTTCTATCAGGGAAGAATGTCTTGCAGCCGCCTTCGTGTTTTCTTCTGATTCAAAAGGGAGGAGGGTATGGGGGTTGAACAGACATCGAGGCTCCCCCAAGATGCACTCTGTGAAGGAGCATTCCTGTTTCCCTGAACCACCACTATGGTCCTAAATGTGGGTCAGAAACTCAGCCTGCAGCTGGGTTTTCTGCTGGCCCTTCCCACGTTTCCCAAAGATTATTCTATTGGAAAAACCTCAGCCTTATCAAGTCTGCTACTCAGTCATCCAAATTAGAATTATTTGAATTCTATCATAACTTTCTAGCTATTTTTTTTCTAGTCTAGATGGGTGTACCATGAACTGCTCCGGAAAGGAAATGGAGAGACGCAGGGGCGGGTAGAAAGATGGTGCTTTCATCTTTGTTCAGCTTTTGGGAAGAGGCGCAATGTCTGAGCCCCTTTCCCTCCCAGGCCCAGTGCAGGAAGGAACACTCTGTTTTCAATCTCGTTGGGCTACTTACATTGGCATGTGCACAGAATCCAGATTTTCCATGCACTCTTCCCTCTGGGCTGAAAATATTAAGTCTCCTTGACAACACTTTTTCTCAAAGACATTCTGAGCTTTTTCTCTGAGAGATGGCAGCAGAGTAGACATGACTGGAGAGCGCATATAAATGGCTTTTTTAATCGCTGGGCGTTTTGCCATCATTCTCCTGTTGAGGATGGGAAGGTAACATTTAGGCCCCATCATCCTGTTTTCTGGAGATGTCTTTGAACTTAGGAAAGTCAAAAGGTCATACCTGAATTGTACAAAAGTCATGCGTTTCTTTTCCCCTCCTGATTCTTCATCCTCACGCTTCCTTCGAGGAATATTGAACATATTGGTACGAAAGAGCCTCCCTATTTCCTCCTCAATCTCTGTGAAATATTGACGTCGGAAGACAATCCAAGCTACATATGTACAGAAAGTGTAAAAGGACTGCAACGGAAAACGGACAAGAATCACAACCCATAACTATGACATGGAAAACTCCAACCTGTCTATATAATACTGCTAAGTAGATATAAACCCAGATGACCTAATCTCTCAACATTCCTAAAAGCTGTGGAAAGTTATACATGTACTCACCTTTGCAGAAGAAAAATAAGACTGAAAATTTAAGGTGTGACATAGTTTGTTAGCATCCTTTTTAGAAAGGACATTCACTAAAAATAAGTGCCTGACAAATGGATATTAGTTATTACTATATAATGTTTATGTCAAAGAAATGTTTCATATCAAAGAAAAAAGCCCCAAAACGTAAATGACTCACCTCAAAGAATTTCCAGTCTTTCTGTGTATCTGATATTTTCTCCCTGCAATAAATCACAACTATAGGTTGACAGGGAAGTTTGATCTTTCAGTGATCTAAGCAAGCCCTTACCTTCAAAATGCCCCTTTGCAGGATCATTACTTGTGGCCTCAAGACCTATTTAGTCACATAAATGCTATCAAAAAGCATTGATAATGAGTCCCAATATCTTTTTCTCCAACTTCTTAGGTTACCCAGATCAAAACCCCTAGAGTGCTCAGTCAAAAGTTAATCAATGTAACTTCAAGATAAACAAGCCAGTCAGGAAATGTGTTCTTCCAAATGCTTCTGGTGATGTGAGTGCTGTGGAGGTGGGGAGAGTAGAAATACGGTGAAAAGGCAACATGAGGTTTTAGTAGATATGGAAATAAAGAACTAGAGAGTAAGTCAAAAATAAAGAAAAAATGGAATCTTAAACAACGGTTATGGCTATTGACTACAAAAAGAAACAGAAGCAAAATGGACAAAGGTCTATGCCGTACAATCAAGAGACTGGGGAAAGTAGTGTGCCTCTGCCCTTCTAAATGAGGTAGGTAGACTGAGCCTTGTTTTTTAAAGGCAGGCATTTTCCCAGGAGTCCTTGCAACACAAATTCAATGTTAAGGAGAGCGTACCCGCATGGCCTCCCCTCGCTAACACAGGCCATTAGTGAACTTGGCCTCCCCTCGCTAACACAGGCCATTCCGATTGCCAATCTTAAGAAAGCAGGCATGGCCTGGGGAGGACTTGAGAGTTGACAGAGAGAGCTATGTACCTACAGTCACTTGATTAGTCATAGGGGCTAAAGCCAGATCCAGGGCACTTCAGGGTTGATTCTGGTTTTGCTTCTGCTTTTGCTTGGGCCTTCCTTGGAGTAATTGACCTAGGACTGGCCCTGGTATCATGCTCTCCAGAACTATCCTGAACTTGCATGGTCTGGGGAAGATGACCCAAATCCCTTAGGACTTTCAGTCTTTTCACAGGGTCTTCATGATTTGTATGGGCCCAAACTAGACCTCCATTTGGGGGAACCACTGAAGAGGTGGTTCAGCCTTTACTGGGGCAGGTCCCTCCCCTCCTACAGAGTCTTCATTTACACACTGGTTTCCTCAATAAAGAATTAAGACAATGGTAATTAAAGTGAACATTTACTAAGTGTGGACTATGTACCAAATACTATGCTAAGCCCCTTAAATTTATTATCATATTTATTTCTCATAAGATCCCAATGATGCAGTCAGCATTATTATTCCCACTTTACAGTTGAGAAAACTGAAGTTCAAAGTAAGCCCAAAGGCACATATTTAACTAGGGGGAGAGTCTGTACTAAAACTCAGGGCCATCAGAGCTCCACATTTATCCTCATAACTAGAATGCTAGGGAAACAAGATTTTTGTTTGTTTGGTTTTTTTAAGAGTATTTTATAGAATATTTTGAAAATATTAAACAATAGAGCCCAACAGAAACATTTCAGGACAAGCCTCGGCATCTTTCTGTGCCACCGGAAGCCTCTGCCTGACAGGAGTGCTTATGTGGTATTTCTGCCCTTCCACGGCTTCTGCCAGCTGAAACCAGAGACCATGCAGACCTCCAAGCTCCCCGGCCATTCTCAGTGGCCCGATAGGATGCTTTCTTATTCTTTCTTGCTACATAAGACTCTTAGCTCTAAACCAAAAATAAGGAAAGTATATAATATTTTTAGTTACTCCTGAAGGGATACAAAGCCTAGAGCCAGGCCAATGGAGTTCTGGGCTGGAGATTAAAAAAAAAAAGTCATGTGTCCATTTGTCCCTTGCTGCTTTAGGCAAAATCAGGTTGAAGTTAAGGTCAAGGCCTGCTTTGTACAAGGGAAGAGAAATTTCAAAGGAATGTGTTTGAGAGATGGGAAAGAAGCCTTGGTGCCAGTGACTGGGCATGAGAGTCGGGGAATAGAGTTTAAGGATGATATATACACCTAAGCTTCAAAGAACCCTTTCTCCTCATCCTCATTCATACCCCTAGCCTCTTTGGTCACTCATCAAATGACAGCTGCATTGAGAGCACAGAAGGAGGGTATAAAGCTTAAGGTAGAAGTAGGGGTGAAGCCAGAACTGGCCAAAACCAAAGAACAAACATAATTCCATAGCATGTGCTGTGAACAGGGTTTGCTTCTCTCTCCTGGAAAACACAGAGAGCTTTCACTGAACATGTTCATCAAAATTTTGCCAAAGCTTTTGTGATATCAGGATTTCACAGATGTATTTAGAAGAGAAAGACATGTCGTCCTACTTCTCAAGAAACATGAAAGCACTAAATTAACAGCCCCCAAACTGCTTGTTCTACTGAAATCTTTAACTCCAGAGATAAATAACATAAGGTGATCCAGTTCAATATTAAGTGTGTACAGATTAGAGAGAAAAGTCAGAAAATATGCATGAAAATGTTCTCACTAGAATATTTCACATTGGGAGGAAGTGAAATAATAGAATATTGAAATCAATTAATCACTCATAACTGGCAAAAACATTGCCCTTATCTCTTAGATAAAATCAACCAAAAGAATAACATAAACTCTATTCAACAGACATAATCAACACCATGGCCAATTAACAACTTTTACTGGCAAAAACTGTAATCTGTTTTCCTCAATATCCTTTGCTCTTGACCTGTATGGAATGTTATGTAAATAGTGGGTGGTAAGCTCTAAACTGATTCTTCTCCAAAACGCTATCCAACAAGCAGTTGAAAAGCAAGTGATGTTGCATACGACGGCAAAAAAGACCAACAACATATCCTGGAAATGAGCTAGTACTAAACTGAGGCAATCACTTTCAAACACAATGAGTTCCTTGAAAAGTCTGAATAAAAATTATGTTGTAATAAAAATGATTGTTAAAAGTATAATATTTAAATGGAGGTTCTATATGCAGGGAATTAAAAGATATGCTCAAATATCTAATTATGATATAACTATTTATTATAACTATATTTTTTATCCCAAAATTAGTTTGTAATGCATATGTACTATAAAGATTAAATATTAAGTATAGGCCAGGGGTCCCCAACCCCCTGGCCACAAACTGGTATCGGTCTGTGGCCTGGTAGTAGCTGGGCTGCACAGGAAGAAGTGAGTGGCAGGAGAGGGAGTGAAGCTTCGTCTGTATTTGCAGCTGCTCCCCAGCACTAGCATCACCTCCTCAGCTCCACCTCATATCATCAGGCACTAGATTCTTATTGGAGCACCAGTCCCTGCTGCCAGAAAGGTTGGGGACCACTAATTTAAACCCAAGCAGTGGAGGGCTGTTAAAATACGATCTGAGGTCCTGGAATTCTTCCCATATTCACTTGGCTCTCTCAAATGAGACATCCCATGTGTTTAGGACAGAGTGTCAGCTGACACCAATTATTCTGTACAACAAAAAAGGAACCTTTCTCAAGGGCACCAAAAGCCAAATTTAAGAGTCTTAAGGATGTGGATATACAAACAAGTGAAGGTCAAAAGAAATCCTAAGTAAGCATTTACTTTCCACAGCACATGTGATGCTTATCAGGCATTCCCAAGCCCAGGACAAGGACGCAGTACTTCTTCGCCAAGTATTTTTGTGCCACTTCTAACTTACTTAAAACCAATTCCATCTCTTTTTTCTCTACAAGGCCCCTGGAAAAAGAAAAAAAAGATCATTTGGATTAATTTTGGCAAGTGCATATGTTAATTAGCGACAAGTCAGAAGTATAAACTGTTTTGAAAGAAATACAAGTGAGTCAACACACCTGACTTATCCTTTATTTATTTCATTCGAGCTTTGGCAGAGGGAGGTTCTCAAAGTCCTTTGATGTTTATCATTGTCATCGGCATTTCGAGTTTATGATGAATTTCCACTTTTTTACACATTCTTCATGCCTTGCATCCTTAATTTTATATACAGGCAGTTCTAATTTATATAGAACAGTTCGACTGACAAATTACCTATCTTGGTTTCTGAGGCAGCTAGCAGCCCACCTCCCTGCTGTTTTGCTAAAACAGCCATGGATTTTTTCCCACCTCAGCGTCCCCTGGGTTCCTGATGTCACTACTAAGTGTGGGACTCAATGTTTGCCTATTCTCACTTTTGTGTGTGCTAAGGAGGCATCTGCAAGACAGCTACTCCAAAACTGCGATATCCATTATAATAACCCTACTTCCCAGTAAAAATACACCCAGTTCCAATTGAATTGCAAATAAACTTTAAGACAACCTGTTCTTAGGTTACAACATGTCTGAAGTCTAATTTTAGAAGTTTTTGCAGTACAATATAGAGGAAAAAATACTGCTGACAATACAGTCCAGTGACTGCTACTGAAAAGGTGTCACTAATTTTTTTTCCTGCCTTTTAATTTTCAGCAATATTTAAACCTAAAGAAATGCAGTCTAAACAACAGGGACAAATTACTGCCCCTTTTGATGTTAACCACTAGACTGACCACGTGAGGATATACTGCGGTTGGATCAGAGGTATGTTTAAAGATAATACAGATGGTTCAAAGCACAAAACATTATCATAAGTGATAAGGAGGCTTGTGAGTCGCTGAAATAAAGTGAGTTTTTGGAATAGATAGAGTGGGTTCCAAATTTAAATGCTGAAATTTCATATAACACAACAAACACACATCCACACGAGCACTCCAGTGTCCATCACAGTGCCTGCCTCCATGAGGATACCATGAGGATATATTACGACTGAAAAATCAAGTGGGCAAGTCCAATAATTATAACAGAAATTCTCATGAGGTAAGTTACTTACAAGGGGTAGGATCAGAGTAGCCAGGCACTCCAACCATCTGAGTCAGAGCAGCTATTTTCCATTGCTAGACAGTTGCTACAGCAAATATTTTATTGTATAGCTGAACTACTGATGACTGACAAGACAAAGGGGACAAAGAATGCAGTATGAGCCAGGAACCATATCTCCTGGTGGTCTTGTGAGGGATAATTGCTTAGAATTGACACCAACACCTAGTCTGACATTTATCTTGGTTTCCATGCCATTCTGGCCATTTACTGACAGGACTCTTTATGATTACATTATTTAAGTTTACAGGACACAGCTAATCATTAATTATGAAGCTTTGGTGCTACCTGAAACTAGTCAGGTCTGAGTTCTCAGCATGGAAACATGAACAGAAACAAAAGCAGGGATACAAAAATAGAGTCAATGTTGTTCACATCAACATCTATATACTATAATTCCTAATTATAAATGGATATACTCTGGAAAAGAAAGTATAGTTGACGTGTAGCAGGTGGTGGGCACATTGCACAGTGGTTTAGGCATAGGCTTTGGGCTCCATCAATTACAAGGCATGTAATCTCCAGCCCACTGTTTAACCTCTGAGTCTTAGCTTCTTCATCTATAAAATGGGATAAGGCTGTTTCTTCTGGAATTTCAATCATCTAAAACCATTAAGTTGTATCTTTGCTATTCTCCTACATTCCTTTCTGCTCTCCTTTCACAATTTGTAGGCTTTCCTCCCAAGTGTCAAGTGCTAGGTTAAGATAACATGCATTATCTCATTTAATCTTCAAGGTAACTGTGTGAAGTAAGTACTATAACTGTCCCAATGCTTTATCTCACTAATTTGACTAAATCAATTTTTTTTCCTTAAAGTTACTTATGGCCACATATCTCAATGCAATTTACATTTATTTCTATTATAATAACTAATAGACTACCAGGAGCCTGAAAATGAAGTTATAATTTTTTTAGAATCACATCATAGAATCGATCATTTTAAGTCTTATTTCTTTCCTTTGTTATTCTGTAACTACTTTCAAGAAAATCTACTTTATATTACTATGTTCTAATAAGTTTTAGTGAATTTTTAAAATAACTAAGAAACCTTTCTTCTCTTTCATCTATTTCTATAAATTAAGAAATGAAACAAATCTTTCTGCCAGACTAGCAATAATCCTCAGCCTTAGGACAGAAAACCCCTCACAAAATGTAAGCTAACATGCCACCAAAGTCTAACCAGTTTCTTTTTGGGAACAGTAAGACTCCTCAGACCTCCTGAGCCCACAGCCAGCTTGAGTCCTTCTGCTTGCTCTCACAGAGATCTTATGATCTCTGGCTGCCCTGCTGTGAAATGCAGTCCTGAAATAACATGAGCGTTACATATTATAATGGCTTTACTAGAGCAGCAGTGTTTGAATTATTTATTTGGTTCTTTACAAAACTGCTGTCCAGATGCATTTAGCGATCCATAAAATCAAACTGCTTTAGTTGTATATAAGGATTGTGCATCTTGATAACATTCTGCAACAACGAATTAAAGGCTCTACCAGCATTCCTAAAAGCTAACTCATTGGGTTGGTTCCACATATACTGGAGAGGGCAGCCTGGACATTTGGAAAGTTCCATGGCTTTTGAAAGGTCACCAAGCTTGAGAGGCATTGTTCTGCTCTGGACTCAGAATTTTGGATTCTTGCCCTGGGTGTACGGCTCTGAGTCACCTCTGTCTAAAGCAGTTAAATAATCTTCATATGTAGCCTAAGAAATTTTGTGGGTTTTTTTCCCTGTGATATAGCATATCATTTTGGTCATATATATTGATTTTTTAATTGTTTTTTAATTGGATGCTTACAAAACCTTTAGCAAGAACTTTGTAAGCATAAAAAGCATATGAGTTATATCTATATTTGCAATATGGTAGCCAAGAGCCCCATGTGGCTATTGAACACTTACTGTGGCTAGTTTGAATTGAGATACATTGTAAGTATAAAACAGAAATCAAATTTCAAAGATTTACTACAAAAAAAGGTAAAGTATTTTATCGATAACTACCTAATATTGACTACATCTTATAATGATAATATTTTTGGGTCACTAATAAATAAAATATATTATTAAAATTAATTTCATCTGTATCTTTACATTTTAAAAATACAGCTACTAGACAATTTTAAGTTACATATGTGGCTCTTACTATATTTCTACTGGGCAGTGCTGGTCTACGTTATTTGGAATATTTTATTACCAGAATACCCACCTGAATTATTCAGTGAGCTTTAAAATACTGGTGAACTCCTCCCATGTAAAATGTTTTAGTATACTACACAAAGATGTAAAAATTTCCATAACCTCTTCACCCTGGACAACAGTTAGTTATAATACTGGCAGTGATAAAACTCTAAAGCACACTACAAAATCCTACTTACACCATATAGCTTTTGGGCTTCTTTTCCAGTGAGATTTTTTCCAAGTAATGAGATAAATAGTACAATAACGCCATGAGGAAATTATCAAGATTCTTATTCCTATGGGGAGATAAAAAAAAAAGGAGAGAAATTAACACTAACATATTTCAAACATAAGTTTCTCATAAAAATTATAGGAACACACAGCATAAGTAGATATACGTTATCATGCCTTTCACACAACTAATTTCCCATTGAAAATTCTATCTACTATATTGTTGAAGATGTAAGAAATCTAATTTTTGTATGCAAAAGTTTTTGGAAGGTCAGACATTAAATTATCATTTTGATAATTGATAACTTAAATTGATAAGTTTTGCTTATCAGTTTTAAATTTTAAAAGTTTTATTATAGAAGTAATATTCTTCCATTGTTTAAGAAACATACAAATGTAGCAAGTTGAAAGTCCTCTCCTCTCACCCCTTTTCACCATCCTACTCCCTGGTGGTTACCACTGTTACAAGTTCATTATGAATCCTTCCTAAAATTCCCAAAGTATAGACCATCACATGTAAGAGCCCCTCATCTCTACCAATACATATACATATGCATCAATATGCCTTAATTTTTTTTTTTGTAACAAATAGAATAATGCTGTATACACAGGTCTTTGTAACTTGTTTTTGCCACTTAAATCTGTGTAACATGGACCTCTTCCATAATACTTTGTATAGGTTTTCCTCATTCTTTGAATAGCTGAATAAAGTATTCTATGTCTCCTAAGTTATGGAACCAGTCCTCTACCGATAAATGTTTAGGTCTTCAAAAAATATTATAGACATTACTGCAGTAATTACCCTGATAACCGTATTGTTGAGTGACTTCCTGGAAGTAAAATTACTAGGACGTAGTATATACGTTTGATAAAGTTTCATAAGTCTCGCTTTCCAAAAAGATTGCACTGATTTACAATCCTGTCTCACTTGTTTTAAAGCTAGAAGCGACTGATTTCTTTCTAAATATACTTTCAAGACTGTTGCTGTTTCCTTCCTTCCCTAATGGAAATTCGTTCTCTCGCATGCTTTCCTTAACTATTCCTTGACAGCAGGATGAATGCAGGTGAGCATTGCAGTTTTTTTTTTTTTCCAGGATATTAATAATTACCTGTCTTAGGTTGGGTTCTCCCAGAAACAGATCCTGAGACAAAGATTTGAGAGTAAATACTTTACTTGGAAAGAGATCTCAGGAAACATCAATAGGAGAGTGGGGAAGTGAGATAGTGAAGGGAAGGAAGCCAACAAAGGGGTTAACAAGTTCATTATCACTATGGACCAATGAAGTTCAGCCCTGTAGGGGATTCTGGGAGACAGTACAGAAAACTTTTCAGAGTTATCCTGACAGATGGAAGCTGAGATATTCATTTATCACCCTCTCTGGCACATCACAGATTGAAGGTTGCTCCTCGGGCAGATTCTCTAGAACTCCTTGCTTGCCCAGTAGCCAGGCTGAGTATGCTCCTGTCACAAAATAAAGCTTTAGGCTGGGAATCTCAGGTGTTTGCCATAAGCAGCCTTTGCTGAATGCTGAGGAAATTTGGGAGGACTGCCAATAATCTTGGAGACCCAACTCTCACTGAGCACTCGCAAGTGCAGGAGCCATGTGAAGCACCTTCCAAGCACAGCCATACGGAGACACCATTACTTCCAATTTTGTATTTGAGGAAACTGAGGCTTAGAAAGGCCAAGAAGCTCGCCCAGAGGCACACACCCAGGACTTGTTGGGGCTGCTGAACACAACTAGTGGAGAAAACTCATCTTCGGTAAGTGAGTATACTCTTTTCTGTAAATAAATAGTTTTAATAGTAAATAAAATAGTAAATAAAGGTTTTCTGTAAAAAACTATTCTGTAAATATAGTGCAGCCTTTATGGGACTCTGACAACATGCTCTCCACACTCCTCGCCCTGGAACTTTATTTTGGGCTTCCAGCTTCCTTTGATTTGGGACCTGAGAGGACGGCTTGCATAGAGCCAGCCCCGTGCCCTTTCTCCAAAACTCAGGTTTGTCATCATTTATCAGATGGAATTACTTCAAAATAAAGGATAAAAGGTCTAAAGTGTCTCACAAGCATTACATACCTCATAAATGTTGAAAAAGAAAAAATCCGCTGCATCTCGGTCTCTTGTAGCAAAAGCAAAGCAACAACTGAAAGGAAAGAAGATGAACAATTGAAAGAGGGACAAAGAGCTGCTTTAGCGGTTCACACCAGATGAGAAAGTAAGGATGAGGAAACAGTTACTCACATTTAGCATCATGCAGTGTAACGTTGCCCTGCTGACCTCGTTTCTCTAAGGCTTGAGGTGACTTAGCATCTCTTGAAGCAAACCTTTTATCTGTCAACCTGTTTTAGAATAAAGCAGTCTCTAGTAGTGCTTTGAAAGGTTTTAGTTGTATTAATCTTGAGGTGCATGAGGCTTTTACTATAAATTAATGAGAGCTTGAGTTTCATTCACAGATTCCTTTTAATGTAGGATCATTTAGGAGTACATTATTAAACTCTGTATGTACTACACTAGGGGTAGGAGTAATATACACTGCCTGACATAAGTGTAAACACCAATTCCATCCAAAATAGATCATTCAAATCATCTGTCTCTGGTGTAGATACCATTATCAGATTTTTAAAAATATATAAAGAGCTGAAAATTTTCTAATAGCCAAATTATCACAGGGATACATTCATAGGAACTATTTTAACTCCCAGCATAATTATGAAATAATGCATGTTCTTTCCTTGATGGGTATTTACATTTCAACCTAGGAAAATGGGAATGATACTTTCTTAGAGTTTTTAAAGGCTTAAGCCATTCTGCTGAGAGGTGCTAAGAGCAACGTTGCCATGGTTGGGAAGTTAAGATACCTTTCTGAAGCTGGACCATCAATTTCAGCAAAGTGAACTGCTTTGCCTTTCTTTCCCTTTTCCTTGAGTTCTACTGCAGGTGTAAAACTGTAATAGAAATGAGAAAAATAGGAACTTAACCTTTTTCCAGGGGAAGCTAATCATATCATGACCATGGCTCATGTAACCTTAGAACCAGCTATATTATGAGTGGATTCTAAAGAGAATTCGAGGTAAACCACTCATGTATTTACATATGGAACAATCATCCAGAAAAAGATGAAAATTTCAGACTTTATATCCAGCCTCTACATGTCAGCAGCCTCCAGAATACCATCATACACAAAAAAATTTCCATCTGAAAATAGTACAGTAACTTCACAAGAAACAGAAAGTTCATGATAAGTTTGGAAGAATTTTTTGATTTATTGAGTACTTTTTATGCACCAAGGGCTTTTATCTATAATCTTATTTAATCCTCACAGCAACTCTATGAGAAAAATATTACTATTACTGCCAATTTTATTTATTTATTTTTTAGGTGAGGCAACCCTTGGTTAACCTCACAGATTGCAAGGACCTTGTCAGCTTACAATCCCTTTTTATTTTTTATACTTAAGCACCTGGTCTTCCTATGTGGTCTCCCATCCAAGTACTAACCAGGCCTGAACCTGCTTAGCTTCTGAGATCAGACGGGACTGGGCTTGTTCAGGGTAACTCCTGGCAATATTCAGGTTGTAGAACAGGTCTGCTCCTAAAAGCATTACATGATGCCACCTCAAGGGAGTGACTTTTTTTTTTTTTTGTATTTTTCTTTTTTTTTTTTAACCATTGGCATCAAGTTGTTCAGTGGATGATTCCTAAACTTTTCATTCTTTCTGGTGCTCCTCTTATCACGGGTCTCCAAGGACTGGGCATTTGGAGCCGTGGGGGCAGGGACAGCTGAAATACACTGGGATGAGGGTAGGTGGAGAAAAAGAAATAGAAAGATACCAAATGTTGATGGTGGCTACCTCCAAAGAGAGATGGAGGATCAGATAGGGCAGAGAAGTCAGATTGTGAGGAAGAGACCTATCTTCCACATTTGTATACTTCTGTATTACTTGAGGTTTTTAATAAGAAGAATGTGTTGATTTATAACCTGAATAATTAAAAACAAAGTTAATAGAGATATACAGGAAGAAACAGTATGTGGTCAATATATCTATTGACATACCATTTAGAAAGCCTTTAACGAAATACTCAAATCCCCCAAACACTGATATATTTTTTAATTTTTATTTTTCAATTGGAGTTGATATTCAATATTAGTTTATTAGTTTTAGGTATACGGCACAGTGGTTAGACATTTAATATAACTTACGAAGTGATCCCCTAATTAATCTAGTAACCAATTGGCACTATACATAATTATTATAATATTATTGGCTAGATTCCCAATGCTGTACTTCATATCCCCTTGACTAATTTGTAACTACCAATTTGTACTTCTTAATCCTGTCACCTTTTTCACCCAGTCCCCCAACTCCTGCTCCCATCTGGCAATCATCAGTTTGTTTTCTGTATCTATGAGTCTGTTTTCATTTTGTTTTGCTTTTATTTTGTTCCTTACATTCATTTTGCATATACGTGAAATCCATTCAGACATTTTCCAAAGGCTCTTTGAAGCCCATGCTGCTTGCTAGATGTCTAATGTGCAGATTAGTACCTCCTTCCTCAATACAACCATCCTAAACAAGAACACAAAGTTGTTTTCAAACTTTTCCTTGGAACATCACAGTGTTCTGGCCACTTACAAGGCATTGGCTGTTACTTCCTACCAGGCTAAAGAAGCCTCAGGTCACCAGCTCTCTCCAGTGTTTCTCTTCTCTAGATGAAACGAGATAGAAATACCCAAGCTAAGTTAATTGCAAATGAACTTGCTATCTCCTATCCTTTTCTCAGTCTCATCCCTAGAATGCAAAGTTTCTTGCCCTATTAGTTTGCCTGAGATTATTTGAGGCCAGAGAGTCCTAAAATAGGAAATCTGAAAGGATACATTTGGGGCTATCTTGCAGATTAGGTCTATGAACTAAGTCAAACGAGCTCAGCATTATAAAATCATGGAATCATAAAATTTGAGGGGTAGAGGACATCTGAAAGATCATATAGTACATGGCTGTCACTTTATTGACAGAGAGAACGAAGGCACGTAGAAGCTGACCCATGTCCCAGTGTTTGAAATTCGTGGCAAGCAGTGCCTTCCCTTAGCCAACAGTCTGTCATTTACTGCTAAACCTCTAGTCCTTTTTCTCTGACCTCTGGACGTGTCTTCCCTACATCACACTTGTCTGAGTGGTTTTTCCCTTGACTGAAGTCATTTTCTAGTTCAGTTAGTGAGATGGATTTCTCTTTGTGAGTGCCCGGTCATAGCTCTAAAGGCAGCTTATGCTCACAGTGCATTTGGAATCACTAAGAATCATCATTTTAACTGAAAACTGTCCTTTGAATTGCCCCTCTGATTGGCTCCCAAACTACAGTGAGAGCTAGTTTTGTACCCTCCTACAGTCTCCAGTCTCCCCCTCAATCTGGCAATCCACTTAGAATGTGGACCTTTCGCACAGTGCATTTAGTTAATGTGTTTTCCTATTATAACATAATCATGTTGTTTCCTTTTGCCCTGAAATAAATGAGAAAAACAATCATATTTTCCCTCTGGAACCCATCACTGAAATGCAGAGGGCTGAACCACTTTTGGCTTTCACACAAGAGCTTTTCAGTGGTTAGTTAGTTTCCTCTTAGGTCATAATAAAAAACAAGAGAAGTTCAGGGATTCTGGAGGTGTAGTTTCCTCAGTTGTATGTCTTCAGGGGAGTCAATGACCTTGGCAAAGACTCATACAGGCTACTGATTGTTTCCCAGCTGGGAGTAGGGGTATTTGAAACAAGGATAGGACTTCTGACAGTGTCAAAGTGAAGCATATCAACCTAGATGTGGCCAGTGAATAGTTATTCCCTCTTTAATAAATAAGAAATGGGTATGCATGCTGATGAGTTATGTAACACTGTCAATTTGTTCCTCACGAGGTATTTATTATTTCATTCAGCAGGTGAGAGAACTGATAATTAGCAGGGCTAAGTAACTTGACAAATAACCACTTAGTAAGCAGGAGAGTTAGGATCTGAACCCAGGTCTCCTTCCAAACCACTCTTTACCGTTTCTTCCTTAACTACCTATTAAGAAATAATGACCACCTTTTCCCTGCTCATTACTGTGTCCATTTCTTGCATGAAGGTTATGGGTATGCTGTTGTATCTTGATACAGATATCTCCCTCAGGATATAATCTACAAAGGTAAGGAAAGATCTGCCTGTGAATAGGGAGCTAGGTTTTCTCTCAAGGGTAGGATTTCCAATGTCATTCATCCAGGAAAGATGCCAGGAACTGCAAGGTGGAGAAGAAGAAAGAGATCATCTTTTCTTGATGTGAACTTGAGAACACCTGGAAGTCTACAAACTCCTGTTGGCTAGTGGTTGTAAAAGGTGGCCTACCCCATGTGAAGGGAGACTAAAACCATGGAAGAGACTTCCAGGTAGAATGTGAATGCCCCTGAGATCAAGCTATTACTTTGCAAAGCAGATTATCTGGATTCATGACACTCCAAATTTTCCTCCCCATTTCTGGCTGTTATTTCTTAGTCTCCTAAAGCCCCTTTTCTCAAGTTCTCTAAATGAGAGCCTATCTCAGGCTTCTAACTGGTTGTTCTCCTCACTTCCTCTGAGTAATTTCATTTACTCCACTAACACCAATAACTCACAAATTTATATTTAAGGTTCAGATCTTTCTGCAGACATGGAAACTGATACATTTGTCTGTTGGACACATTTGTTCAGGCATCCTACAGACACCTCAAATTCAGTATATCCAAAACTGAACTCGTTCCCCTTTAAACTGTATTCACTATCCCTATTTCCCTCAACTCACCTACCCAAGTGTCCAAGCCAGAAAATGGCGCCATCCTTGATTCCTCTATCATCCTTTAAGCCCTTACAGCCCATTAATCACGTAATTCTTTAATATCTTTCCAATTTCTCTACTTCCCTCTCTTCTCTCTGCCACAATTGTAGCCACCATCACCCGTCAACTAAATTTCTGCAACTGCTTCTTAACTGATCTCCCTACTTCCAGTCTTGTCTCCCTTTGAACTACTATTTCATGCTGCAGACAGAGTCATCTTCCTAAGATGTGGTTCTAATCACAGGTTACCTACCTGCTTAAAACCTGAGCCCTCTAAAGAAAGTTCGAGTATCTCAGCATGGTATGCAAGACCTTTCATGATCTCGCCCTGGTCTACTTTATCTCTCAACACTTGGAACGCTACATTCAGCCTACTGAACTGCCTTAAGTCTCAAACATGTCCCATGCCCTCTCAAAAATAGACTTTTGCACATGCTGTTCCTTCTGCCTAGAAAGCACTCTCCTCCTCCCCAACCAAACCTCCCTTTGCCTTGTCAACTCCTACTCCTCCTCAGGTCTTGGCTGGGCTATCATCTCTCCTGGGAAGTCTTCCCTGTCTTCTGGGCTTTAGGAAATGGCCCCATTTGGGTACTCAATCAGGGTACTTGGGTAAATGTGATTTCCCTCAGCCTTGGCCCAGCCCAGAATGGCAGTGGTGGGTATTACTGGTGAGTGAGCACCAAGGGGAACAGCAATCTTGGGGGAAAAGTTAGGATCAGCAGCACTACTACCAAAAGATTCTCTTTCCAAGAGTAACTGGAAGGGTCTGATTTATTATCAGTAAGGAGAGCAGCATAGATATTCCTCCCTGCACTTTCAAATTCCCAGGCTTTCCTGTCTGTATTACCTCCTTCTCACCGTAGTCAGTGGAAAAGCTGTTTCTATCTTTTCCAAGCTAACCTATGATCTTTATCCTATTTATACCTTCCTTCTCTTCTCTTCCATCTCTTCTTTCTCCCAAAACAATTTCCTACCTTTAAAACAAAACCCACAAAAATCCTTGTTTCTGAGTACTGGACCCCCTAAGGTTGACATCTCTTTCCTTTTTCACTGGTAAACTTACCAATAAGAGTATATTTTTGTTAGTTCCTCATCTTTATCTCAGATTCTCTCATCTAATTTCTCTCCTTATCTAATTTCCATCCTACTGCTGTCCTGAAACTGTTGCTCACTTAGGTCCCCAGCAACCCCCTAACTTGTTAAATCCAAAGAAAGGCATCTTTTTAGTATTTGCCCCACCCTGAGCTCTCTTTAGCATCTGACATTGTGACCACTCTCCCTCTTCTTAGAAAATCTTTTTTGCCTTTGAAGGCCTGTGTGTCTCAGGGTTTTTCCAGACTCTTCTAATCATTTCTTTCTCTCTGGCTAGCTCTAGAAGGAGTCTTTGACTCTACATTCTCCTGCAAGTCTTCATCTCCCCCTTAGATTGCTGCATAATTATCTTCTCTCCCCAGTTATAATCTCACCATCCATGCTACAGTGACAGAGGGCTTTCTAGAGCATAGATGCAATTCCATCATGTACGCTCAGTAAAGGTTTGTGGAGTGGTACCAAAAAGAAGTAGGTCTGAGAACAGTGATTGAACAGGCCTTTTGCCTCTGCAGTTCCCATTCTTACCACTGTAACCTCTCAACCTCCTCTGCCTCTGTCCTGTCTCATCACCATGCATTGGGGTAACAAGTCTCTGCCACACTGTCTCTGAAAAAAAGAGCATTGAGTCCTCTTGAGTCCAGCTTGAGTCCTCTCTGGCTTCAAACCTATACTTTTGTCATAGGATATGCTTAGACTTTAAAAGGAAATTGGTACCTATATATGCATCAAATCTAAACACTAACTCTGACCTACAACATATAAAGGTTAGCTTTCCTCTTCCTTAGTATTGTCCCTAGCAGCTAGACTCCCAAGGTAATGCTGATACTCTGAAATTCACCACACTGAGTTACTTAAACAGGAAGCTGCCCACTACAAAAGAGCTGCCCCCACCCACCTATTTTTCATGGTATTCCTTTTCCATCTCTCCTAACTGCCCCCAATTTGTCTATTACACAGAGTCTGGAGTTTGGAGTTTTTTATTTTTAACTTTTTAAATTGAGGTATAACTTACATGTAGTAAAGTGCGTAACTCTTAAGTGGACAGCCTGATGAACTTTTCACTATGTATATGCCCACGTAACCACCACCCAGATCAACATATAGGCTATTTCCAGTACCTCAGAATATTCTGAGATTTTCACCCCTGCCAGCTGATAACTTCAAAGATGGCCATTATTCTGACCTCTATCATCACAGTTCTTTTCTTGGCTGTTATTTTAAACTCTTATATAAATGGAATCAAACAGTATTTACATTTTTATGTCTGGCCTTTTTTGTTCAACATCATGTCATATAATCTACCTTTTAAATCATACTATCCCATGTATATTGCCCCAAATTAGTGGAAATTAACCAAGTTATTTTCAAAGAATAACTTGGTAAAAAAACAAAAGAAAATTTGGTTTATGAATATTTTATAAATAAGAAAGTCGGTGTGAAATTGATAGCTGTGAATTTATTAGTAGACTTGTACAGAAAATAGTGCCACTTAGGTGGATTATTTTTAGATTAGCATTAAAAATTAGCTTGAAAAATACTACAAATTAATTTCATTTACAAAGATTAGTAAGTAAAAGAATGTTCCAATTGTCATCACAGAAGAAATATATATGAAGATTGAGAAAAGAACATGTTGGAAAAAGAAATTTTAAAAAGACGAAACAACAAAAAAGATTTTTAAAAAAACAAAAAAAAATATTTCGAAGGAAAAAAGGAAATAGTGGCACTTAAAATTTATATCTACATGTTCTTGTGCTTTAACATGTATTTTGACTCCTGTGTTTTTCTTAGAGTCTGTCTTATCCCAAAGCTATCTTGCTGTCTTTCTACTTCGCACTGAGTGTGATGTTTCAGGAGCTACTCAACAGAAGCTTCTGTGACATGTTTGAGAACAAAAACTGAAATAACTGCCTTGGAAACGACAGATTACTCAAATACTGAAATAAATACTCTATGAAATAGAAACTTTCAATTGTGACTAATGTTTAGCCTTTAAATTATTTGTTTAACTGACATTAAATATGTCATTATATTTGTAATGTAACTATATCTGCTTAGCTAACTTTTTCCTGGCCTCCAGCCCCATTTGTCCTACAGCCTAAAACATATATCCATGTGAACAGCAACCACAAACACATTGCCAGTCTTGCCTCTTTTATTCTGTATATGGGTGAAAGGCAATCCCAGCCATTCAATCACCCAGATACCTGGGTGTCAACATAAGTACCTATGTCTCCCTCTCCCTTCACATCCAGGCACTACATCCTATCAATTCTATCCAAACATCCTGTCAATTCCATCTCTTAAATAGTTCTTAGTCCTTCTATTACTATCAACATGGACTTAGTCCTGACTCTCACTGTTTCTTACCTGTGTAACTATCTAATGTTGGTCCCCTGCCTCTAGTCTTCCTCTGCTTGAATCTAGTTGGTTTACTGAACATGTTCAATAAACATTTGGTGAGTGTCTGCTTTGTCAAGTTCTGTAGACAGCTCCAGGGTCATGAAGAAGAGTAAGATCGTTCCTGCCATTGAGGGGCTTACACTGGTGGGGTTTTGACAGCCATTTATTTTATTCTTTATACTCTTTTGTATTGCTTGAAATTTTTTTTACCCCAAGCACATGTAATTTTTATAAAAGCTATAATAAAGTTTGTATTAAAACTTACCTTCTGAATTCAAGGGTTTTGGTTTCATCTTTCCAGTACCACATGCCTAATCGTAATCCCAACTGCTGTAAAATGAAATGATTGCAGCAAAAATAAAAGCTCAATTTACAATCCACATGTCACAATGAAAGTTTAACAATCCCCGCCTGTTGCTCTATTCAATAAAGATGTAGAATCTTAAAGTGTTTTTTCCTAACCTGAGGCCAGGATTTTATCCTTTTTTATTGTTTTTTAGATGTAGTTTCCATAGAAAGGAAAGAA